CGAGCAGGGCACTGCGTGTGGGCAGTAGCCTCTGCTCTTCTCAGCTTGTTTCTCTCACGATGGAGCCTCCATCCTACAAACGAGCTGGGTTGAGGAAAATCATGACGCCGGTATTCCCAGCATGCCATCCCTAAGGTCAAGCATCTGCCCTATGGATGGGGGCTAGGTGGGCTACACTCACCTGGAATTTAGCCTCTGCAGCATGTAGCTGACAAGATGAGATATTCTCATGGCCGGTTCCTCCCAGGGAGATAACACAGTCCTCAACTGAAAGCTGGGAAAGAGGGAGCGGAGTTTCTGTCACACTGAGCTGGAAGCAGGGAGAGGGGGAGTGGGTTATAATTCAAATGCCACCGACTCTTGCTCTTCTTATTGAATTATAGTAGATTTTCTCGAATAAATGTTTCTTCATTTGCTGTCTGCTGTTATGACAATTTCCAGAGACTTCAAATGGTTGCTTTTTAAATACTTTTGATCAGTTATACTTGTTTCACTGGGTAGTGGGTCCACAGAGATCCTCACTGCCATTCCACAAATGGAACTCCCCATGTATACTTGATATATCATTTTGACTTATTGACCTAATGATATCAAAAATATCAAATAATCAAAAATATTTAAAAATAAGTTTTAAAAAAGCAACCGGAGACAGCATTATGGGTGTGGCACAGCCCTCCATGATGCTGAGATGGAGTAATAATCTTTTGTGTTCAAAGAGGAGCTCTAAAGTGGTCCACAGTTAGAGCTGGGTCCTCCTGGATAATCATGCAGCAAACTTTGGATGTGACGAGACTGATCAGTGGAGGCCAGTAAGGGATGGATGACCACTGAAGATTGGTGTTTCCCAATGCTTGGTGCTAAATAAGCCCCTAGACCTAGATACTGCCATCTTAAGTTTCTGCTATGTGGCCAAATGGAGGATTGGGAAAAAATTGAATTGCATTAAAACGACAACTTTCTTGCACCATTAAATCTGTAGACTAGGGTTTAGATCAGCTGTAAAAGTATAGGCAGGTTTTTTTTTGGTTTTTTTTTGGACAAGTTCAGCTGAAGGCAGGGAGCTGAGGGAGAGAAAAGGGAAGAAGGAATAGCAGAGGCTTTCGGGTTTTTTTTTTCCTTTTAAGTGAGAGCTTATGGCCTCATGGGAGGGATTTGGTTTAACAAGAAAGACTAAGGATACCAGGGAAAGATCATTGATAGCATGAGATTCCTAAGGCTGGAGAGGGCACCGGTTTCTTTACAATTGGAAAGACAAAGCTGAGGACTGGTATAAATCCAGTTTAGTTTGTAAGCTTTGATGGCTAAAATATGAAGGTCTATGCATCTGATGGCATCTACTTTTCTTGATGAAGTAGGAGCAAAGTCCTCTTTCAAGAGGGGACTGTCAGTTACAAGTTTGAGCAGAGAGTCTGAAGTGTCCCTAGAGTGAGCACCAAGTGAGCTGACGAGCAAAAAGTTTCAAATTGTTGGGCGGGGGAGAGGGGCTGGAGAGGCTATGGACTCTAGGCGCAGAGAGTACTAATTGGTCTGATCTATGACTCTTCTCTAGTTGTGCTCAGCTACTCTGGAGCAGGAATGGAGAAGACAGATGATCGGGGTCACCCAGGGCTGGGATTATTCCAGAAAATAACTGCTCAGAATATCTTCCTATACTTTAAAATCACATATCTTATGTTCTCTATAACAAACAAATCCTTTCTTTCACATTTTATGATATCTGTTTCCCCATCCCTTTGATAATTGTCTTTATCTTCTCTGGCCCTTTTCCAGGTTTCCCATTTTCTTTTACAAATTAGTGAGGAAGCATGGTGCAGTGATTAAGGTAGGACTTCTGGCACCAATTTGCTAGGTACAACTCTTACGTCTAGCACATACTTCCTGTGTAACCTTAGGCAAATCACATAGCACCTCTGTGCCTCAATTGTCTCATCTGTAAAATGGGGGTAGTGATAATATAGCACCTTCCTAGAGAGTTGCTTTGAGGATCAGATGGGGTCATGTATGTACTATGCTGAGTGTGACTTGTTGCTGTTATTGTCATTCCAGTGAAACACCCAAACTGGGAGCAGAATGAGACATGAAGGATGACATTCTGGCCTTTATGTGTTATGCAATTTTAATACATCCCAATATTTCATAGCTTCTCTTTCTTCTTTTTAAACAAAATCACTGTAATTGTACACTCAGCGGGAGAAAAAGTCTAAGTCTTAAATTTGAGAGTCATTTGTTCTCCATCTTTTATTCAAGGCATTAATTTCTGTCTCAAAGTATTTACACCTGGACCAGATTGGTTGCTGGCCTTTACATATCTTTCACTTCTAAATCCATCTCCTTTGATAACCACTTCTGAAAATGCTGTACCTTTTCTTCCCCACAGGTCCTGATTAGGGCCAATTTTTATAAAGCACAAGATCCTCAGTTAGACTGTAAGCTCTCTTAAAGCAGATGCTGTGATTTCTACCTTTAAGTAGCCTGAGCACCCAGGAAGTTGCCCAGTGTAAAGTAGGAAATAAAAACTGTAGCTGATGGTGGTGATGATGATGATGATGGTGATATTGGTGAAGTTGGTGATGATGGTGATGGTAACAGAGGTGATGATGTTGGTGATGATGTTGCTGCTGATGAAGATAATGATAGTACCCCAAGTTGTCATCCTTGGTTTCCCTATCCACTGACCTTTTGGGGGGCAACAGAGGGTAGAGAAGAGAATATAGGGTTCCAAAGCTGGACAGACTGTGGTTCAAATCCTAGTTCTATCACTGACTAGTTGTATAGTCTCAAATAAACAAACAAGGAAACAATACTGTAATTTTTTAAGTAACTTATTAGCACTGTTCTCTCTTTCCCCTCCCATTTTTGCTTACAGCTCCTGATTTCTTCCCCAAGCTATCCCTTTCTTAAAACTTTCTACTACTACACACCAAGAGTTAGGATGGGCTTCCTTTCCTGCCTTGAAGTCCTTCGTGCCCCCACCTTGTCACTTCCAATCTCTCCGATTTTCCCTTCACTCACCAGGAAAGTTTATTCCATGCCATGTTTATTTCTTAAATATCTTCCTTTGATTTTTCTTCTCAGGCAATACCACATTCGCCTCCTTCCCCTAAGATCCCTAACTTTCTTTCTGCCTTTATTCACAGTTGCTGAATTCCTATTCTCTGATAATTTTCCTAACTGGAAGACTTTATCATTTCCTCCTAAATGCCAGACATGACTTCCATTTTCTCAGAATGCCAAGAACCACACAATCATTTTGCCTTTTACAGACAAATACTGTAGATATTTGTTAAATGTTAGTTCAGCTGCATTAAGTCTGTGTGTGTATATATTATACATGAGTGCTAAAGAGGAGAGATTATCTCATCTGCTTTGTACTACATTGAGTGTAGCAAGATATATACAGATAATTTATAAACTTACGATTGTGATGATGCCTTGAGCATGGGAAAAAATTAAGTATCTTTAGCTGACATGAATCATGTATTTCCATCTTTGATTACAAAATAGTGACATACACCCACCTATCACACAAATACTCATTAACATTTTTAAATACAAGGAAAAAAAGGTGGCTATTTCACATTGAAATCTTTATATGATAGCTGATGTCATGCCATATCTAGTTTATTTTTTATTATGTTATGTTAATCACCATACATTACATCATTAGTTTTTGATGTAGTGTTCCATGATTCCATATCTAGTTTAAAGTACTTATTCAAGTAAGGCTGTGAAATGCTGAAGACAAGAGGGGCAGGTGGAGGAAAGGAAAGAAAGAGGGAGAAAACATAAAAATATCTTTTAAAATTCTGAGTAAATGATTCTGTGAACAGTGGCATTTAATGAGAGAAATTTCACACACACAAATCGTGAATGGTGCTTTTGAATTTTAAAAAGCATCTTTGTTTTGCACATTTCTGAAAATATCTCCAGCTTGATTGAAGTTTCTTTCTGACTTTATGCCCAAATTATTAACACCCTATTATGTGTAATAATACCATGTCTATTCTCCCTGTCTAATAACAACCACATTTTTTAGACAAATCATGTCTATAAAAACAAGGATTCATTTTTTTTCCATAAACTTCCAAATGTAGGAAAGTATAATGCTCTTGAAAGCTCTATGCTTATTCCAAGAATACAGCCACTTCTCCAAATATTTTTAGAATTCTTCTTTGTAATCATCTTGGGTTGTGAGCCACATAGGAAAGCCAATCTTGTTACTTTATAGGGCTCTCATTTTTGTATACATAAAAAAAAAGTGGCATTACTCACCTGATTCAATCAACTTGACTTCAAATTACATTTTTGGCTGCATTTAAAATTCAAATTTACCTCAAAAGGCAAGATTTTCTACTATGAAAGTTTTTTGTTTTTGTTTTTTTTGTATATGAAAATACTCTGAGAACAGCATCCCCTGAATGATTAGAAACAAAAGTAGCAGGTGAGGGTAAGGGGAAAGCTTTAAAGTTTCCCAAGGCAGATAATTTTGGCAGTAGAATGAGGGGCATTAATTTTTAAAGTATAATCTTGGAATATGTTTTTAAACAGCCACATTTCTTTATGTTCATACTTCTCTTTGCCCTTCAGATGGATGATTTTCTGATAGTAAGACACAATTCAAAATCCTAAAATGGTTTAAAATGGGATATGAATATAAAATTTCCCACAAATGTATCAGGGTCATGGGGTGGGAGGAAGTGCACCAAAGTGTGTAAAGATAAGAATTTTTCGTTTCTAACCCGAGCACCGAAAGCATGTGTCAAAGGTGCGAGTTCTAACAATCTCCAGTTTTGTTGGATGCTGGTGATTTGGAGGGGCCTTCAAGTAATTCTGAAGGTCTCCATTCTTTTCTGAAACGCTATGTATTTGAACAAATCCTGGTTACATTCATTGATTTTGTTTGTTCGTTTCACAGTGTGATTCCTGTCATATGAGCTTATCAGTAATTGTGAATTCTATTTTTGTCATTTTTGGCACTTACAGTTCACAATGCTTGGTTGTGTGGTTTGATACTGTTTTAATTTTTGCATTTTACATTTGGCACTTTTGAAGAAGGGCACATTGTCTTGTATGTCGTTTGGGGGTAAGTGGTAAGCCTCCCCCTCCGTCTCTTTTTTTTAAATGTCTGGCTTTATGAAATACACGATTCTCCCCGGAATCCTGCATCATTAAACGGAGCAGGTGAAAATTTGCCTTCACAAGCTATGCATCCCGGCCCTTCTTAGAGGCTGGTATCCCCGGCTTGGGATTTAGGTTGTTTGATCGCTGCTGTCACAGGCCCTGGGGGTCCCTCCCTGCAGAAAAGCACAACTGGATTTTTTCGGGCCCACATAGCCACATCCCCTCCCATCCCGTTGGCCGGGTTGGAAGAAGATATCCTGCTGCAGGCTCCCAGCCGGTTGGCATAGCGGTTTCGAAGGCGACTGCGGCTTCTGGCCTGCAGCCGGGGGCCCTGGCTGGGCAGGAAGGCGTCCACATTCCTAGTCCGGTAGCCCTCTTCCCGGTTGCGTCCCAGGAGCATCGAAATGTTGGGGTTGCGAATGGCATAGATGACAGGGTTGATGGCCCCGTTGGCCCAGGTCAACCACACAGCCACCACGTTGAGGAGCGAGGGGGCTTGCGTGGCCTGGGCCTGCCGGGCCGCGGCCAGCAGCACCAGGAAGCAGTAGGGCCCCCAGCAGCCGATGACGAAGACGATCATGATCAGCACGGTGGTGGCCGTGCGCACCTCGCTGAAGAAGCGCAGCACGCGCGCGTACGTGGTCAGGGGTCGCACGCGCACGTCGCACAGGCGCACCGTCTTGCAGATGTGGTAGTGGCAGAAGCACATGAGCAGGAAGGGCAGCAGGTAGCAGGCCACCACCAGCCCCACGCTGTAGGCCGCGCCCAGCTGCGCGGGGTCCGGGGACGTCCGGTACAGGCAGCCGTGGAAGCTCTGTGCCGCCGGGGGCTCGCGGGGCGCGCGGAGCAGCTCCCAGGGCAAGGAGAAGCCCAGGGCCGCCAGCCAGGCGCCGGCCAGCAGCTGCAGGGCCCGGCGGCGACCGATCTTCTCCCGCGGCGGCCGCACGATGGCGCAGTAGCGGTCCAGCGAGATGAGGGCCACGCTGAGCGTGGACACGATGCCGAAGCACGAGCTGAAGAAGCGGCTGGCGGCGCAGAAGCCGCGCCAGGGCCCAGCGGCCGGGGAGGCGGCGGCGGCGGCGGCGGGGGCCGAGCCCCCCGGCGGCGTGAAGAGGTCCAGGAAGGCGGCGGGCAGGCAGAGCAGCGCCGTGAGCAGATCCGACAGGGACAGGGACAGGATGAAGGCGTTGGTGACGGTGCGGAGCTGCCGGTGCTTCACGATCACCCCCATCACCGCGCAGTTGCCCAAGCTAGACAGCAGGAAGATGAGCAGGAGCACGAGCGCCTGGGCCGCCACCGCCGCCCCGTGCGACAGCAGCGGCGCCGCCTCGGGGTCCTGCGGCGGCCTCCCCGCCGCCCCCGCCGCCCTGGGCCCGCCCAGGCCGCCGCCAGCCGAGGCGCCAGTGCTGCCGCCCCCGCTCCCGTCGCTCTGGTTCCCCAGCGCCGCGGCCGCCGCGGTCGCCACGGTGCCGAAGGAGAGCACGGCCGCCGCTGTCGCGGCGGAGGAAGTCCCGCCAGGTGCGGCGGCCGCGGAGGGGGCTCCGGGGTGTGGGCTGCCCAACAAGGCCATTCTCGCTGGCGGGCGGATCGGCGGCGGCGGCTGCTCCTCCATGGGGCCCCGCGGCGGCCGCGGCTGTGTTCATCCCGCACCGGGGGAGGCGGCCGCAAGCCCGAGCGGGGGCGGGGGGTGGCTCGGGCTGGGGTGAGAAGCCTCTGCCTGGAGACGGGCTCGGCGGTCGCCCCGGACCCCGCGGATCCTTTGACGTGCGTTCCAGGCGTTGCCGAGGGAACGGTGTTTACGCAGGAGCGCGGGGCGGGACGCCGACCCAGTACCCTCCGAAGAGCGGGTCCACATCAACTCTCCCCGAGGTTGTCCAGCCAAGGGGTCCGGGCTTCAGAGGAGGGTCAGGTCGACCCTCTCGGAGACCTCATTTATATGAGGGCCAGGGAAAGCGGGGCCGGCCGTCATAGAAATGACCAAATTCAACAAGGGTTCGCTCTCAAGCTGCCTTAGTTGGTTACAAATGTCCTACAGGGAGACTTTGGTTGTGCTTCCTGTTGACGTTTCTGGCACATGCAGGTAGGAAAGGGATCTAGAACCTGAAGTGAAAAACAGTTCAAATCCGGAGATTTAAACTTTAGGGGCAGAATAATATGAACCAGGTGTTCTCAAACTTGAGCATGCAACAGAATCAGGTAGAGGGCTTGTTAAAACACAAGTGACTGGGCCCAACCCGAGTTTCAGATCCCGTAGATCTGGGGTCCTGTCGCAGAATTTGCATTTCTAACAAGTTCGTAGGTAGTGATGATATTGCCGGTCCGAGGACTGCACTTTGAGAACCACTGAGGTAGTGAGCTTATTAAAATGCACATTCACTGGCTGACTCCTAGGATTACTGGGGATGGGCCCATGAAACTAAACCCCACAGATCTGATACAGGCGCTCTGAGGAGCAAGGATATGGATCTTGGAGGCAGCATGTCATCTTAATTTCAAGGGCCTAGACCTCAGGACCAGAACGGGTTCACACATGGCGGGGGGCCGGGGGGGGGGGGCAGGGGTAGGGAACAATTGGTTCCTTGCCCTCCTGGCATCCTTCCTCAGTTATCTGGAATGTAGTGTGTTTTGAGTCTCAAGTGCTACCAGCCAGGGAGTCACCACTGATGCAGCTCCACGTATCTGGCTGGGAGGTTCAGGAACAGATAGGTCCTTCCTGCCCAGGGAAGCTGCATCTCAAGTTTCTGAGCAGAGCCTCTAATGGGGAAAAATGTGATAAATCCTTAGGTTCTTTAAAACCATGGTTTTCAAAGTGTGGACCCTACACCAGCAGCATTAGCATTACCTGGGACTTTGTTAGAAATGCAGATTCTCAGGCCCGACCCCAAATCTACTGAATCTGAAATCTAGGGGTGGGGCCCAGCCACACACCCTGCAAGTGATTCTGATGCACAGTATAGTTTGAGAAACACTGCTCTAAAGAATGACCAGTATACTTGCAGATCTTAGAACCACCGATACTAGTGCTTTGGATGCTTATTTCTTTTTTTTTTAAGATTTTATTTTTTTATTTGAGAGAGAGAGAATGAGAGATAGAGAGCACGAGAGGGAAGAGGGTCAGAGGGAGAAGCAGACTCCCTGCTGAGCAGGGAGCCCGATGCGGGACTCGATCCCGGGACTCCAGGATCATGACCTGAGCCGAAGGCAGTCGCTTAACCAACTGAGCCACCCAGGCACCCTGGATGCTTATTTCAGTGAGGAAAAATATCTTACTGGAAATTTGCAGTATAAACAGAAGTTTATTTAAGGTGGTAAATTAATGCATTATAGGAATGCATTATTAGATGTTGGATTGGGGTCTTTGGATATAAACAATATCCTGTCTCACTTAAGCAAAAAAGGGATTTATTGGAGGGATAGGGGGAGTTCGCATTACAAAAGGATAATCTAACAGCTAGCCCCAAGAACAAGAGAAGTCAGGGCAGAGATAGCAGGTCGAGAAGCAGAAACAAATGGAGGGTGATCTCTTTAAAGCGCTATTGGAGTAAGTCCACTTCAGCCATTTTTCAGACCTTATGTCATTTCTCTCAAGATCCCAGGTCCAGGGAGAGAAAGTCTGGCAGTCCCAGCAAGGCTGCATGCAGGGGATGGATCGTTTTCCACAGGAAAAGGTGAGTGTTGTTGATAAAGGAAGGAGAATGGAATGATGCCAGGCGAATCCACAGACATCTGCCTCAGAAGCATCAACAGACGAGATGAAAGGGCATGAACAAGAAGCCAAGGATAAATCACAAGTTCCCACCTTGCAGGATGGTGGTACCATTCATCAGGTTAGAGAATACAAGAGTATTCTAGGGGGCGGATGAGTTTGACTTGCACACCAAGTAGTGGACCTGCAGTATGGCTCTGAACCTTAGGATTTAGGGATTTGGAAGTTTTCAGCCTCTCTCTACAAGAGAGAAAAGCATGAGCATGCATGTGATGACTAGGGACAGGGTATTGAGTGAAGAGAGAGAAGAACCACGGGTGGAATGCTAGGGAGTAGAAAAAGTTAAGCAGGTAAAGGGAAAAAAGCCAGGCAGGTTAGAGTGACGTATTTAATGAGGCACACTGGCCAATTGAGAAGTCAGCGGTCTTGTGTTTTTGGTTTTCATTTTGTTTTGCTTTTCAAAGTAAGGTAATTTCCTCAGCCTCTTCTGAAGAAGGAAAGTTGCTGTGACCATGAGGTCACCTCGCGGCTGAGAGCTCACAGGCTCCTTATGTATTTTCGAGCAAAAAGGAGACGGCTCACCTGTAAAGCCTGAACCCAAATGGGTAACTAAAATAGATTGTTTAGAAAGTTTTGCTACTCAAATGCAGTCCTACTAGTAACATCAGCATCACCTGGGAGCTTGCTAGAACTGCCCCACCCCATTCCTAATAAATGAGAATCTGCAGTTTAAGATCCCCAGGTATTCATACCCACACGTATGAAAAACATTGTCCTAAAGAGGGATGGTATGGAATTTGTGGGTTTTAGGAGTTGAAGAGAAGGGTGCCCCAACTCTTTTGGAGTCTAGAGGACTTGGAGCCAAACTCATTGCAACTTCATGGTGAAGAGGAGATGGCCCTGGGCCCACACAATTGCAGCACTGGTGGGTACTAATGGGGACTGAGTACTAACCTCGTGACCTTGAGGGCTTCTGTGAGTGTCTCTATGGCTGACCCAGCACCAAGGGCATGTAGATACTTGCTCTAACATGAACCACACTTGGCTGCCAGGAGTCCACAGCAGCATCCACTGTGGATTGCATAAACCCTCAGGGGGCTTTTAGATCTGGCAGTTAGATCAAGCATAATTTCCAACAAATAATGAGGTAGAAACCAAATGACAATAGTCAAATAACAAATGGGAAGACGAGAAAATGTATCCGATGAACAGAGAGTCAGGAATGTAGAAATTTGACTACAAAGGGAAGGAAACGGGTGACAGCAAGCTAGAGAAGGAAGGCAGACAGAGGATGTTTGCGTCATTTTGTTTATGATGAGCGCATTTAAGTATCTAGAGCTAAGAGATCAGTGAGGGAAAGGAGGTTGGCTTGAAAGAGGTTAATTAATGAGGCAAAACCCTTACCAAGGATGGCAAGGGATAGTTGTGAGCAATATTTAGAAGGTAGACTCAGCGGGGCTTTGTGACTGGTTAGACACATGGAGGTGGGGGGTGGGTAGTTAATTTCCCTAGTGTTGACTCCAGGAGAGGCGGTGAAGTACAGAAGGCGTGAATATTACTGCAAGGGTTTGGCTCTGGTTTGGATTAGAATTTAGGAAGATATAGGCAATGCCTACTTTTTAATGTAGATAAGTTAATATGACTTGTGAAATTTGGAGAGAAAATAGTAGTTCTATTCTCATTTAATTAATTAATTTATTTAAAAAGATTTTATTTATTTATTTGACAGCAAGAGAGGGAGCACAAGCAGGGAGAGTGGGAGCGGGAGAAGCAGGTTCCCCACTGAGGTGGGAGCCTGGTGCAGGGCTCCATCCCAGGACCCTAGGATCATGACCTGAGCCAAAGGCAGATGCTTAACTGAGACACCCAGGTACCCCTCTATTTTCATTTTAAAAAGAAAGCACAGCAAATCTCTCTAATGTGTATAAAATTTCTTGTCATAGTAAGCTAGTGATAGTTTCGTTTTTTTTGAAGGTAAGTGATTTCTTTACCACAGAATTTTATAGAAAATGAGTGGAAAACATTAGTTTTTGTATAATAGGAAAATCAAGAACATTAACTATAAAGTTATAAAGCTATAAATCTTTCATTTTGGTCTGGTAATTCAATCACAGACTTAAGAACCAGATGACAAAATGAGTTAAAATTAATTACTTCAGTTTCTGTATGCTTAGAAAAAAAAATTTCACAAGAGTCTACTGACTATTGAGAGCATCACATATTGAATAACTTTTTAATACCTCATTTTATAGTGACTGAAAAATGATCAAATTTTATTTTGTTAATTTATTTTCAAAGATTTCATTTATTTATTTTAGGGAAGAGAGCGCAAGAGAGAGCACAGGGGCAGGGAAGAGCAAAGAGGGAGAAAGAATCTCAAGCAGACTCCACGCTGAGCCTGACTCAGGGCTCGATCTCACAACCATGAGATCATGACCTGAGCCAAAACCAAGAATCAGACACTTAACCAACTGAGCGACCCAGGTGCCCCGACCAGATTCTATTTTTAACAGGTTCACAGATAATTAAGTAGCAAGAATTAATAGTTAACATTTCTTTCGGGCTTTAAATCTACCTGGCATGTAGTTGGTAGTGCAGGAGACTCACCCTACTCTAGTAATTCATTGATTTCCACTGTGTTTATAATGCAGTCAACAATCCCTTTTATAAATGCCTTAAAGATGTAACAGAAGTCTGATTATTCATTGGTCTTCTCACATCAGCTTATGGCACTTCAGTTACCTTGGAGTAGCAGCTGGACTTTGCAGCAACAGAGAACATCCTGGTAACAGCTATAACATCTGTTCCAAGAAGCTGACCCACCCCAGTCCTTCCCAGGCTATGTGTTTAGTACCTTATAATAATCCATCTCCCTTACATCCTGCTCAGAGACAGGACATTATCTT